AGCCTGACATTTATTGCAATGGTTTCCTGTTGGATGTGCAGGTCTTCCATCCTGAGTCTGTCTCTAAACCTGGTGCCAGTGATAAATTGGACGGCTCTGTTCTGGACTCTTTAAAGCTGTAGCATGTTGGATTTCACTGTTAGTGACATGGGTTTTTTTTTTTTTATTATCACACTGGCCGATTCCCACCAAGGCAGGGTGGCCCGAAAATGAAAAACTTTCACCATCATTCACTCCATCACTGTCTTGCCAGAAGGGTGCTTTACACTACAGTTTTTAAACTGCAACATTAACACCCCTCCTTCAGAGTGCAGGCACTGTACTTCCCATCTCCAGGACTCAAGTCCGGCCTGCCGGTTTCCCTGAACCCCTTCATAAATGTTACTTTGCTCACACTCCAACAGCACGTCAAGTATTAAAAACCATTTGTCTCCATTCACTCCTATCAAACACGCTCACGCATGCCTGCTGGAAGTCCAAGCCCCTCGCACACAAAACCTCCTTTACCCCCTCCCTCCAACCTTTCCTAGGCCGACCCCTACCCCGCCTTCCTTCCACTACAGACTGATACACTCTTGAAGTCACTCTGTTTCGCTCCATTCTCTCTACATGTCCGAACCACCTCAACAGCCCTCTGGACAACAGTTTTGGTAATCCTGCACCTCCTCCTAACTTCCGAACTACGAATTCTCTGCATTATATTCACACCATACATTGCCCTCAGACATGACATCTCCACTGCCTCCAGCCTTCTCCTCGCTGCAACATTCATCACCCATGCTTCACACCCATATAAGAGCGTTGGTAAAACTATACTCTCATACATTCCCCTCTTTGCCTCCAAGGACAAAGTGCTTTGTCTCCACAGACTCCTGAATGCACCACTGACCCTTTTCCCCTCATCAATTCTATGATTCACCTCATCTTTCATAGACCCATCCGCTGACACGTCCACTCCCAAATATCTGAATACATTCACCTCCTCCATACTCTCTCACTCCAATCTGATATCCAATCTTTCATCACCTAATCTTTTTGTTATCCTCATAACCTTACTCTTTCCTGTATTCACTTTTAATTTTCTTCTTTTGCACACCCTGCCAAATTCATCCACCAATTTCTGCAACTTCTCTTCAGAATCTCCCAAGAGCACAGTGTCATCAGCAAAGAGCAACTGTGACAACTCCCAATTTATGTGTGATTCTTTACCTTTTAGCTCCACGGCTCTTGCCAAGACCCTCGCATTTACTTCTCTTACAACCCCATCTATAAATATATTAAACAACCACGGTGACATCACACATCCTTGTCTAAGGCCTACTTTTACTGGGAAATAATTTCCCTCTTTCCTACATACTCTAACTTGAGCCTCACTATCCTTGTAAAAACTCTTCACTGCTTTCAGTAACCTACCTCCTACACCATACACCTGCAACATCTGCCACATTGCCCCCCTATCCACCCTGTCATACACCTTTTCCAAATCCATAAATGCCACAAAGACCTCTTTAGCCTTATCTAAATACTGTTCACTTATATGTTTCACTGTAAACACCTGGTCCACACACCCCCTACCTTTCCTAAAGCCTCCTTGTTCATCTGCTATCCTATTCTCCGTCTTACTCTTAATTCTTTCAATAATAACTCTACCATACACTTTACCAGGTATACTCAACAGACTTATCCCCCTATAATTTTTGCACTCTCTCTTGTCCCCTTTGCCTTTATACAAAGGAACTATGCATGCTCTCTGCCAATCCCTAGGTACCTTACCCTCTTCCATGCATTTATTAAATAACTGCACCAACCACTCCAAAACTATATCCCCCACCTGCTTTTAACATTTCTATCTTCATCCCATCAATCCCAGCTGCCTTACCCCCTTTCATTTTACCTACTGCCTCACGAACTTCCTCCACACTCACAACTGGCTCTTCCTCACTCCTACAAGATGTTATTCCTCCTTGCCCTATACATGAAATCACAGCTTCCCTATCTTCATCAACATTTAACAATTCCTCAAAATATTCCCTCCATCTTCCCAATACCTCTAACTCTCCATTTGGGTATGCAAGGGTATTCCAGCAAGGGTCTAATCATCATCTTATAAAGGTGTTTCTTGATGTGGGAGGGGACTTCTCTGAATCTGAATAGTTGACTGAGGTGGGTTTTTCCTAGGTTCACCTCTTTGGTAATGTGAGATGTGGAGTGGAGCAATCTATCGATCTCATAATCCAGGATCTTGTTTGGGTTTTTGACAGTAATATGTACATGTACCTCTGATAGAGATACCCCCTTTATCTTCTATGGTTGATGCGAAACAGCCGATGGAGTTCATCCATTTGGGATCATTTTTGTTAGATCTTATTTCCCTACTCGGAACAAAAGTTGTCTGGGCAGCTAGAACTATGCTCTGAAAAACGTCATATTGGCAACCAAGATCACCTACCTGACCCATAGTCAGGACATCCCAATTTAGCCCACCCAGGTAATTTTTCATCACCAAAGGCAAAGTTGCCAAAAAAGAAGACAGGAAAGGTGGAAGGACAGCAGTGTAAGGAGTGTGTTCTGTGGTTAGGCCAGTGTAGTGGTTGGGGTAGGATGAGGTGGGGGAGAGGGAGGAACAAGCAAGCTAGTCACCACCTTACCCACTTCATGGGATGGGGCTCAAAGTGACAGCAAGCAAGTTTTCCTTTCAGCTCTGGATAATTCAGAATAACCCAAGAAATATTTAGGATCTCAGTGCTTGGAGTGGGAACGTTGATTTTGTCTCGTTGCACCATCCACTGATTGGCCATGGCCATCGTCCAATCACTGAGCCGCCCGGGACTGCTGCTGCTCTGGCCATCCTGCTGCTACATCCATGTCCGCTGCCAAGTCACCACTGCTACACGCACGTCTGCCGCCGAGTCACCAGGCTGGGCAATGTCTGTCAATCCAATGTCAATGGTGCAATACCTAGGATGACCTGGGATACAACCTGAGCTTGCTGGAGCTGATAACATCCCAACTATGTTACCAAGGCACAAAGCCAGACCTAATTCTTGGATGAAGTTTCCAATGAAACCAAGACCGACAGAGATGACTGATTCAAAATATTAGTAGCAGCAGTGGTGGTGACATCAGCGACAGTGATAGTCAGAAAAGAGGTAGCAAGAGACAGCGATGGTGTCAGCAGCAGTGGCTATGATCTAGGGTTTTGCTATCATGCTCATGTACTGATATATTACAGGTATCAAAAGCACAGTACAATTAAAACAATTTAAGTACAGCCCCTTGTCACTTAGCAACATACTTGTTTACCGACACCTCAGACTTACGAGGGGCTCTCTGACCAGTATTCATACCTAAATAATGTATATTAAAGCTGATTTCCTCTACTCTGTTTATTTCAATATACAGTACGCTACTGTATAAACATTTAAAAATATACATTTTAAAATATGTTACAAATGGTGCAAAGGTGAAATTAAAACAATATCAAAGATGGTTGGCACAAACTCACTACCATTGCAGACGAATTCGTTTAATGATGTGGTCTCAGGAACGGAACTCCATCGTTAAGTGAGGAGAGGCTGTATTTGTCACAGTCCAAACCACATACCCTTAGGTACTAGGCAACTCACAACACAACAAGCTCTTATGATAAAATAACCCAATGAGTTTGCAACATAGGAAGGTTGAACTGACAATGAAATAACAGCAGCATGATGATGCAGTATAGGCATAGGTTTCACCAACTCAAAGAAACTGTTCACAATGTGAACAATAAAATGGTATAAAATACCGACAGGTTGTTTAGGTAAGACACACATGCAACAGTCAGGTATCTTTATTTCGAAACGTTTCGCCTACACAGTAGGCTTCTTCAGTCAAGTACAGCAAAGTTGATAGAAGCAGAAGAGACTTGAAGATGATGTAATCAGTCCATCACCCTTAAAGTTTTGAGACAATGGAACAATACTCTTCTCCAGACTGAGGGACTGACCACCTCAAAACTTTAAGGGTGATGGACTGATTACATCATCTTCAAGTCTCTTCTGCTTCTATCAACTTTGCTGTACTTGACTGAAGAAGCCTACTGTGTAGGCGAAACGTTTCGAAATAAAGATACCTAACTGTTGCATATGTGTCTTACCTGTTCACAATGACCCGCACATAGAAGAGAGGAGCTTACGAGAATGTTTCGGTCTGACTTGGGCCAGTGTGACTTTGTAAATGGTCCAAGTCGGACCGAAACGTCGTCTTAAGCTCCTGCCTTCTATGTGTGGGTTATTTGTGTATTGTTCCAGTCACGGTATTGTCCCTTTTTTGTTATTCAAAGAAACTGGTTGAGGGCTTTTCTCATAACTCCTACAAAGCTCACCCTCTCCCATGCAAAAATAAATAAAACCTCTAATCATTTCAAATTCATAGTGCACACAACAGAATCAGAGCAATCTGATCCTTCATGTGAAGTTCATCATTACACAACTTAGTACCTTTCTATCTACAGTGACAGAAATGAGGACAAAATTCAGCAACCTTAACCTCAGGATCTTCTCTTCAGCATATTGAACTAGGTCATGAGAGAACACCATTACCTCAGCTATAGTTTCAACTGGCATGGAGAGCATACATTATTGCAGTGCCTAATACATCTGGTAGGTCATGAAGATAAGTATTCTCTGAGGGAGAAGAGAAATTTACAAATTTGTAATCTGACTGTGAAGTAATTATGGGGACCTAAGGGGCAGGTTTACAATCTTAGTTCAGCCCACCAAGAGAAGTAAACTCAACAGAGCAGAGCTCTGTGGAACAGAAGCTCCACAAAATCCATTTTTTTTTTATTTTTTCTAGTTAGATTTTATCAACACCACATATCCTTCATTCATACCTGCTTTTCACTTGTATACTTCAATCATATCCCTCCTCATTCTACTCATTTCACACATGTGCAGAGTCAGGGATTTTGATCTATCTTTGTAGGAAAGCTTTATGTAAACTAATACAGGCCATACCTTTTTACGAAAAGAAAGTCGTTCAAGAGAACCAAGCCTTTTTGTGTGGTCCTTAAGTAGCAGGCAAGTAAGCAACATGTATACCTCACTGCACACCATGAACATGATGAATGATACCTTGTGGATATCTGCAAGCAATAAAACAGTATTAAAAACATAATTACAATAATATGATCATACTTTTTTATATCTATATGTACCACCAAGCAAGTCCATACAGCAATATGCTAACATGCTTAAAATATCTACCTCACACAGTAAAGGGGATATTTCAGGGAAATGCCACTCCAGATAATACTGAACTTTATGATATTCATTTCTGGAAATGGCCAAATTAATGCTTCATCAATTCTTTGTTGTCAATCAGTCCAGGATAGTCTGTATCATCTCACACCTCCCCACTCATCATGCTAGATAGTAAAATCATTTAAGGTAACAATATTTAAAATAAGAAACCGCAGTAAGTAAGAACTGGAAGACTGGTGAACTTTTTAACAACTTGACAGCAACACATTTACCATAGTTCTCCTTGGACGAGACAAATGAAAGACCGAGAAGAGCGATGTTTTCTACAACGTTTAGGAATGTGTTGACTTTCACTGCATTCTGAAAAAATTGCATAAATCTCAATAAACAATTTTGATCATAAAATGGGTTACAATAGAGATAAACAAAATGCACATAAGTATTGATAAATATATAAAGTCCTCTCAATGAGCCTAATCACCAATTTCTACCCAGTGTTATGATCCAAAAACACATTAATACAATACTGTATTATTGCTACAACACCACATCAAACGTATGTCTTTACTGCCTCGAAGCTTCTGTATTAAGCTAAAAATTTATGTTGCATTCAAGACATGAAAAACAATGTGAAAATGAAAATACATATGTATAGTCTTGACATTACTCTATTATCTGGTAAGTATCACTGTGTCAAAAATTAAGAACAAGTGTCTGAAAGCCAAACAACATAAGAAACAATGGCGAGTTTTCAGGATTTTTTTAAGGGCTTTTACTACTGATTGGATAAATAGCTGCTCAGGATCTTTCACCCTTGCTTGGTATGGTATGTTTTTATACTCTAAAAGACAAAAGATCTCCATATCTACTATATTCAAATGTACACAGCCCAACTTGGGCACAACATAAGCAGATATTGCCTTGGGAATAAAAGCCTCCATATGTTACAAACACTGTACATAATACCAACAACGTATAAAAGACACGTACCCAACATTAAATTATTGTTATAGAAACATTCTACCCACCAGGGGTGCGAATGTGAGTTGAAGTGTAGATGGGCTCCACAAAAGGGTTCATGACACCACCCGATGGATTTTAGATTTAGATTTTACTACCAAAGTGGCTAATTTATTGTGCACCCAATTTCTGTCCTGTGGACATCTGGATTTATAACTACAGTTGACTTATCTATTGTAAGCAAATTTAGGATAATATATTAATATGTCTGAGATCTTATTTTCATTAATATGACACCATGGCATATCACATAGGTTATTATACTATCTCTATATGACTCAGTGAGTGAACAATTAAGCACAGTGTTCAAGAAAATAACCATAAGCATGACTACACACTTTGCATTTTGTTTGATCATTATGTGTGTGTCTGCCAAACTCTCAGAAGTACATGTAGCCAAGTCTAAGTCTGGCAACTACATCTGATGGATAAGTTCTAATAACCTAAAAAAAATTTAGCCACAACTCTGGAGATACTGAATTTCCCAAGATCTGAATAACTTCATTGCTAAGACAAATGACAACAGATTTTAAACAACAGCATATATATATATAAATTCTCTTCCTCAGTAATGAGCTTGGCATCATTCCACTTAAAATGGTTGTGGCTATTCCTGTAAATAACAGGAATTATTAACACTGTGTACACAGAAAACTTTTTTAGGCTTGCAGACATGGGTGTATTTGTCTAGATGTCTCTCCATATGGTATGACAGATTCCCTCTTTTGTTTCAGTTAGACGTCTGAGTTTCATGCTGGTTAAGTCACTAATGATAGTGCTGGTATTAGTGGCTACTCTAAGACAGTATTTAGAGAAAGAATTGGAAGTATTTTAAGCTACTTTAATGTTGAGAAAGATGACATATCTTTCTAGAGATCTGTAAATCTTGGGGGATGTTTATGATCTGCAAGAGCAAGATGTCTATAGCCATTCTTGAAATGAGAGAGGACGGGAAAGTGCAGTTTAGAGAAATTCTGGTGAATATAATCACCTAGAAGGCTCTCAGTTAGAATCCTTTGACTAATCTGAGTTTTGTCTTGTTGTTATGGTCCAAGTGGAAGTTCATTTAAGTATTCTAATTACAGCTCATGCTAAATTTACATAGGAATACATCGAGGAAGGGAAGTTAGTCTTCACATTCCTCTTTAACTGTGGATTTAATGAAAGGATCAACTATATTCAGCCTCTGCTATAGTCTGTGATATTGAACCTCATACATGCTATGAGGAGCATATCACTGATATACTGCAACATCACACTGTTGGAAATAAAGGGAGTGAATTTTTCTGCCTCCAAGTACCATACTCCATGTACAGGTTATCTACTACTACATTAGTGATGGACTTGATCGCCATGCCACAGCTTTACTTGTACAGAATTACCATAAGAAATACAATTAAAATACAGGCAATTCATTACGAGCAGAAATTTTCAGCAGGGAGAGGAAGATTGAGGTCATCTTTGACCTTCCATCTGCCAGGTTTTTGAGTGTGTTAATACATGTATAATGGTATAGCAGTACAGCCCTTCTGAAAGTCACTGTCCTGTTAGCAGTAATTCCTGATGACTAAATTAAGCTACTGTTTGGGCTTTTAAAAGTCTGCAGAAAACTTCATGCCTACATCTATATGTCACAAATTCTGTATTACTGAGTACCCAGGATGACAAGTTATTATTTGGCTTTCCCAAAGTGTTTCATTTTCTAGTTGTGAATAGATTAGGTAACTTGCAATTTAAGTTAATTTTTTGTTGTAGATCTACTCTTATGATTCTGCCGAGGATAATATCTGTTAGTCTGTGGATCAAATTGTCTTGAACAAGAAAAGTGGGTCTTATAAGAAAATTAATTTAGGCTTAACAGGAATGATGCCAAATTTGTTATTAAGGAAGAAGTGTTACAGAAACTTCATCATTTAGAAGTGTAATCATTTGTTAAAGCAATACAGTTATATAGAACAAGGGGAGGTCTACATCTCCAAAGGTTTAGCTAAATTGACTTTAGGCCATCAGGTTCAAATTCAAATTCAAATTCAAAGTTTATTCTCTATAAAGATTACAATGTTGAATTTACAGAATTTGGTTGTTGTGTGGTTTACATGTAGTTAAATAATGATTACAGAGTGTACCACTAGAACGCCTAGCATGGCTATGCATTTCGGGCAGACTTAGTTTAATTCTTTATTTTAAAATATTACAGATTATGAGGTAAGTTGGTATTATGGCTAAGTGACTAAATACTAGTTTGTGAGTTTAGCAATGTGAATGCTTTTGTTTTGGCACAGTACATAGTTTCAGTTTTGGGGAGTATCATAGGATTCATTATTTTAAGATTGAGATTAATATTTCTGTTTATGGTCAAATGGGTGAGTGAGTGTAAGTGTGAACCACTAGGTGGTATTCGTGCAGTTAGTTGATGGGGTTTATCAGGGAGATAAGATGTTTTCTAATGGTAGTTTTGAAGGTAATGAATGTGTCTGCAGTTCTAGAGTTCTCAGGTAGGGTGTTCCAGATTTTAGGGCCTTTGACATACATTGAATTTTTGTAAAGGTTTAGTCGGACATGGGGAATGTCATAGAGATGTTTGTGTCTGGTGTTATGCCTGTGGGTTCTGTCACAACTATCAAGAAAGCATTTTAGGTCAAGGTTGATATTGGAGTTTAAGGTCCTGTAGATGTAGATTGCACAGTAGTAAGTGTGGATGTACTAAAACAGGGAGTAAGTTTAGATCTATGAAGAGTGGGGGGGGTGTGTTGCCAGGGATGGGATTTAGTGATTATTCTTACTGCAGCTTTTTGTTGGGTTATTATTGGCTTTAGGTGTGTTGCTGCAGTTGATCCCCAAGCACAAATAGCATAGGTGAGGGTATGGATAAATAAGTGAGTGGTATAGTGTGAGAAGGGCATTTTGCGGCACATAGTATCGTATCTTGGAGAGGATCCCAACTGTTTTGGATACTTTTTTGGTTATGTGGTTGGGTATGGGTGCTGAAATTCAGGTTGTTGTCAAGGTATAGGCCTAGGAATTTGCCCTCATTATGTCTGGTAATTAGAGTGTTGTCGATCTTAATGTTAATTTGTGCATCTCCTGCTCTGCTACCAAACATTTAATATAGTAGGTTTTGTCAGTGTTAAGCGTAAGTTTATGGCTGTCATCCAAGTCGATATTTTGATCAGCTCTCGTTAACAATGGTGTTGAGGGTGGCAAGATTAGGGTGAGAGATGACGTAAGTCGTGTCTTCAGCAAAGAGAATGGGTTTCAGGTGTTGGGATACGTTTGGAAGATCATTGATGTATATGAGGAAGAGCAGGGGACCAAGGACACTTCCCTGCGGAACTCCAGTATCAAGTGGCCGAGTTGTTGATGCTGTGTCTTTAATGGTAACATACTGATACCCATTAGTAAGGTAAGATTTGAAATAAGCAAGCGCATGGCCTCTTATACCGTAATGGTCAAGTTTGTGGAGTAGGATGTCGTGGTCTACTGTGTCAAAAGCTTTTCTTAGGTCAATAAAAATTCCTAGTGGATATTCCTTATTTTCCAATGCTGTGTAAAGCAGATCTAGCATTTTTATGATTGCATCATTAGTGCTTTTATTTTTCCTAAATCCAAATTGGCAGGGGTTGAGTATGTTTTGTGCTGTTATAAATGAATATAGTCTCCTGTGCACAAGTTTCTCAAAGATTTTGGATAGCAATGGTAAGTTTGATATTGGCCTATAGTTTTTTAAGTCTGTAGGGTCACCACCTTTATGTATTGGTGTAACCCTTGCCATCTTGAATAGTTTCGGGAAGGTGCTAGTTTCTAGTGACTTGTTAAAAAGTAATGAAATAGCATGCGAAAGGATATGGGCCGCTCGCTTGTACAGTAATGGTGGGACATTAGACAGATTCCCTGAGTTGTTTTTAAGTGACTTTATAATCTCGGTGACTTCCGAGGGCTCAGTTGGTGCAAGATAGAAGGAATTTGGGAAATTCCCATCTAGGTAGTCCCCGGCATGGGCATTAGTATGTGGGATTTTATTGGCGAGATTAGATCCTATGGTTGAGAAGAAGTCGTTTATCTTGTTAGCTGTGTCAGTGGGATGTAGTGGTGTTTCATTAGTTTAGTTAGGACAATATTCTTGTTTTTTTTCAGTTTGTGGGTCCCTAGAATCTGAGAGAGTGTTTTCCAGGTCTTTTTTATATCCTCTAGTGTCTGTGAATCTACTGGAGTAGTATAGTTGTTTGGCTTTCTTTATTACTTTGGTGAGAGCTGATGAATAGTGTTTAAGAATATCTTTGTGTATTAAACCTGTCTATATTGCTTTTCATATTGGTGTTTCTTGTCAATGGATTTCAGAATGGTGCTGGTTAGCCATGGGCAACCAAGCCGTTTGTTTGTTATCTGTTTCGTTTTTATAGGACAATGTTTGTTGTATAGTCTAAGTAATTTGTTAAGAAAAATGTCTGTCCAGTCATCAATACCATTGGCCTTGGAGAATTCTGTAGGCCAGTCAACAATCTCTAGGTCAGTTGTGAACTTCCTTATTGAGGCCTCGTCATGGAGTCTAAATGAGACTTTGTTGTATTCAAGTGGTGGTTTATTAATGTTTGTCAGGAGGAAGGTAGGGTAATGGTCTGTAGTGCTATCTGTCATTATCCCTGATTTAAGGGGGGCTAGTATATTGGTCCATATGTGGTCTATAATGGTTGCACTTGTCTCAGTGAGCCTGGTTGGTTTAGTTATTGTCGGTATGAGAAGTGTGTTGTTCATATTGTTGATGAAATCAGTTACAGGCTGATCATCTAGTAAGCCAAGGTTGATGTTGAAGTCTCCAACTAAGAGAAGGTGGTGCTTATTCATTTGTCTGTTTGTTATTAGTGACTTTAATTTCTCACTGAAATTTGGGATGTTTGTGTGAGGTATCCGGTAAATGGCACCGATTGTTATAGGTGTCTTAAGGTTTTTTACAGTAAAATTAGCAAAAATGTATTCCCCATATTCATCACTGAAGCAAGTGGTGCTAATACAAGATAATTGGTTAGAGTAATAGATTGCAATACCACCCCCAACTTGGTTTGGTCTGCAGTTGTGAATTGCTGTTCTGTCAAAAGCCATCTTGTGGACCCTGCCTACACTACAACTAACCTCCAAAAGAAAAAATTAACAGGCACAATACCATGACTGGAACAATACACAAATAACCCACACACAGGATGACGTTTTGGTTCAAGTCAGACTGAAATGTTGCTATGAGTTTCTTTTTCCTATGTGTAGGTTATCTGTGGAGTGACCTATAATATATTTTCCTGTTTTTCTGTCTCTGTACTGAACTGATATAGCCCTTAATGGGTGGAATGTTTCTTTATTAAAGTTACTTAACATTGCTTCTCTCTCTCTCTCTCTCTCTCTCTTTACTAGTCTTCGTATGTTGATACTCAAAATTAACATTACAATTCAACATAACTTCAAGAAACAACTATGAAGCTTTTTAACAGGAAATTATTATTTTGTGAAATACTGAGTCTTAGGTTCCTGGCAAAATATTTACTGTATTACTTATATGTAACAATATATGTACGTAGTTTATTTCCTGAGCAATGTGTATATTTCCTTTGATCCCATTCAGAACATACCCGAGTGGGAGGAAACTTAAGTAACATACACAGTATGGATAATTACAGGTATAGATAATTTAGTAGGTAGGAGGTTGGTAGACAACAATCATTCGGGGAGGTACTACCGTCCTACCAAGTGAGTGTAAAAAGGAAGTCTGTATTTGTTTTACATGATGGTAGGATTGCTGGTCTCTTTTTTGCGTCTCATAAACATGCAAGATTTCAGGTACATAGTGCTACTTCTACAAACACTTGGGTCACACTACATATACATGTACAAGTTTATTGTATACACACTCATCTGAATTTTCTTTGACTTTATCTTAATAGTTCTTGTTCTTATTGCTTTTCCTTTCATATCCATGGGGAAGTGGAATAAGAATCATTCCTCCATAAGCCATGAGTGTAGTAAAAGTCAACTAAAATGCCGGAAACAATGGGGTAGTAACACTTTTTCCCATATAGCCTACCAAAAAGAAAAAGAAGAAAACCATCAAAGTGGGAGGTTTGAATGTGCATAGATGTTGTGCAAATGATAGGAAAGAGATGATTGTGGATGTTATGAATGAAAGAAGCTGAATCTCCTGGCTTTAAGTGAAACAAAGCTGAAGGGGGTGGGAGAGTTTCAGTGGAGAGAAATAAATGGGATTAGGTCAGGGGTTTCAAATAGTCAGAGCTAAAGGAGTAGTAGCAATAATGTTGAAGGATAAGTTATGGCAGGAAAAGAGGGAATATAAATGTATAAATTCAAGGATTATGTGGTGTAAAATAAGGGTTGGATGTGAAAAGTGGGTTATATTAACCATTTATGCACCTGGAGAAGTGAGAAGTGTAGAGAGAAAGATTTTGGGAAATGGTGAGTGAGTGCATGGGGAGTTTCAAACCAAGTGAGAGAGTACTTGTGGTTGGGGATCTCAATCCTAAAGTGGGTAACAATACTGTGGAGGGAGTAGTGGGTAAATTTGGGATGCCAGGGGTAAATGAAAATGGGGAGCCTTTAATTCAGCTATGTGTAGAAAGAGGTTTGGTAATAATACATATTTTATGAAAAAGAGGATAAATAAGTATACAAGGTATGATATAGCAAGTAATGAAAGTAGTTTGTTAGAGTATGTATTGGTGGATAAAAGGGTGATGGGTAGGCTTCAGGATGTACATATTTATAGAGGGGCAACTGATATATTGGACCATAATTTAGTTGTAGCTACAGTTAGAGTAAGAGGTAGATGGGATAAAAGGAAGATGGCAACAGCAAGTATGAGAGAGGTGAAAGTGTATAAACTAAGGGAGGAGGAAGTTAGGGTGAGATATAAACAACTATTGGCAGAAAGGTGGGATAGTGCAAATATGAATAGTGGAGGAGGTTGAAGAGGGTTGGAATAGTTTTAAAAATTCAGTATTAGAATGTGGGGCTATAAGAGGGTGGATGAAGGAGGAAAGAGGAATGACTGGTAGAATGATGAAGTAAAGGGTGTAATAAGAGAGAAAAAGGTAGCTTACGAGAGGTTTTTACAAAGCAGAAGTGTTATAGGAAGAGCAGAGTATATGGAGAGTAAAAGAAAGGTGAAGAGAGTGGTGAGAGAGTGCAAAAGGAGAGCAGATGATAGAGTGGGAGAGGCACTGTCAAGAAATTTTGCAGAAAATAAGAAAAATATTTGGAGTGAGATAAACAGGTTAAGAAGGCCAAGGAAAAAAATGTATTTGTCAGTTAAAAACAGAGTAGGGGGGTTAGTTGATGGGGAGCTGGAGGTACTGGGTAGATGGCAGGAATATTTTGAGGAACTTTTAAATGTCGATGAAGAATAGGAGGGGTTAATTTCATGCACTGTCACTAGCACGTTAAGAGACAATACAGTAAGTGTCAGGGGTCCGAGACTGTTCAACTGCCTACCAGCATACATAAGGGGGATTACCAATAGACCCCTGGCTGTCTTCAAGCAGGCACTGGACAAGCACCTAAAGTCGGTACCTGACCAGCTGGTCTGTGGCTCGTACGTTGGATTGCGTGCAGCCAGCAGTAACAGCCTGGTTGATCAGGCTCTTCTGATCCACCAGGCAGCCTGGTCACAGACTGGGCCGCAGGGGTGTTGACCCCCGGAACTCTCTCCAGGTAAACTCCAGGTAAACTGGCCAGGGAGGTATAACATCTTTTAGGAGTCAAGAAGACTTGGAGAGCATATAAATCTGTAGGGCAAGGAAGGCGGGGTAGGGGTCGTCCTCGAAAAGGTGGGAGGGAGGGAGGGTGTAAAGGAGGTTTTGTTGGCGAGGGGCTTGGACTTCCAGGAAGCATGTGTGAGCGTGTTAGATAGGAGTGAATGGAGACGAATGGTTTTTGGGACCTGACGAGCTGTTGGAGTGTGAGCAGGGTAATATTTAATGAAGGGATTCAGGGAAACCAGTTACTTTTATATAGCTGGACTTGAGTACTGGAAATAGGAAGTACAATGCCTGCACTTTAAAGGAGGGGTTTGAAATATTGGCAGTTTGGAAGAGTATGTTATACATGTATATGCTTCTAAACTGTTGTATCTGGGTGCCTCTGCAAAGACAGTGATTATGTGTGAGTGAGGTGAAAGTGTTGAATAATGATGAAAGTATTTTCTTTTTGGAGATTTTCTTTCTTTTTGGGTCACCCTGCCTTGGTGAAAGATGGCCGATTTGTTGAAAAAAAAAATAATTACATAAACCACTGCTTAGATTTGTGTATAAATAACAATCAAAATGGCAATGTTACAAAAGATAGTCAATATTAACTGTAGCAGACATAGCATATCATGTGAATATAAAGGTGAATATTAACTCAAACTGCCTGCAATTATGTGCCCATGACTACATGCAACAGTGATCAAGCTATAATGCAGATTAATGTACAACTATCCTTACAATTTTTATAAGTAAAGAAAAGCACAATCACCTGAGATAATGAATGCAAAACAATAAAACCAGCTATCACATAAAGATGAAATGTCAAGACTGACAATGAGGATATTAACTATAATTCCTACAAAACTCCTTGATTTTCAAGATAATGATGAATGTATTATTGCATTAATAGCTGTCATATGAAAATCCAGAAATGAGTAGCGATATTTTCTACTGTATGTTTCCTAGATTGAGGAAATTTGTATGAAAAGCGGTATAAGAAAATATTTAAGAAAGAACTTACTTGATAGAAGGGAATATTAGGTAGATTTCGTTGCATAAAAGAGTAATACATCGAGGCTATAAGGAACCGAGGAGCTGAGTGAACAGCAATTGCAGCTCTCCATATGTACCGTTGAGGAACAAATTCTCCAATTGCTGAGGATATTGATGGCAGGTAGTTTTGAACCTAGTGAAAATCAAATTGATACACAAGATACTGATGACAGGTCATTTGGAACTTAGTGAAAAAAAATATTTTTTATACCTGGTAAAAGCTAATACAGCCTCTTCTCACTTAGCGATGTACTTGTTTGCCAACGACTCGGACTTACAACGGGCTCTCTCACCAGTATGCATACCTAAATAATGTACATTACAGCTGATTTCCTCTATTCTGTTTATTACAATATACAGTACACTACTGTATAAACATTTAAAAGTATACCAGGAATGTTATGTAAATGGTGCAAAGGTAACATTAAAACAATATCAAAGATGGTTGACACAAACCCACTATCATTATAGTATGCTCCTCACTTAGCAACGAATTCGTTTACCGACATGGTCTTAGGAATGTAACTCTGTTGTTAAGTGAGGAGAGGCTGTATATATAGTACACAAATCTGATTTGCACGGTAATTATACAAGTATGTATGCATTTAAACCCACAAAAAAAGATTATTTTTTTTAACATAATGGCCTTCTCCCACTGAGGTACGGTGACTCGATAAAGAAAAAATACTTTCACCATCACTAACTCCAGCACTATCTTGCCAGAAGCACTCCTTCAGAGTGCAGGCATTGTAGTATCCACCTCTCGGACTCAAGTCCGGCAAACTGGTTTCCCCCTGAATCCCTTCATAAATGTTACCTTGCCTACACTCCAACAAAATGTCATGTCATAACAACCACTATCTAACATGCTCATACATGCCTTAAGGATGTCCAAACCCCTCATATACAAAATCTCCTTTATTCCCTCCCTCCAACCTTTCTAATGATGACCCCTATCCCTCCTTCCCTTCACTACAGATTTATACACCCTCAAAGTCATCCTATTTTACTCAATTCTCTCCAATGCCCAAACCACCTCAAACCCCTCAGCCCTCTGAATAATACTCTTTGTAACCCTGCACCCCTCCTGTAACTTATTTCACCCAAAAATGGTTCACTCATCAATCCATGACAGAAAATGCTACAACTCATACTGCAAGGCACATCATCTAAAGGGGACAAGAAGGTACAGACCAGCCAGATTATGGGACCCAAAAGAGGGTAGCCACAACTCCTCCAGGGACAGAATTTTTTTTTAGGGCCAGGAGAAAAAAAAGACTGGCAAGAAATGACAATAATCCTATAGCAACTGAAAATACTTCTGGAGCAGAGGCACGGACATTGGCCTCCACTCCAGAACAACATATTAGAGCCAACAAATAAAACCCCCCTAAATTCCACCAACATAACGACATTTGTCTTTGCAAACATACAGGGTCTAAAGCCATCAAAAAACAACAAAATTCCTTACATCAAGGGACTGCTCAAGGAGTCAAATGCAATGTTTGCAGCATTCACAGAGACCCACATAAAGGATTATTATGACAACGAAATATGGATCCCAGGTTATAACCTATTCAGGTGTGACAGACTAAACAGGCAACAAGGGGAGGGTTGGCCAGTACGTCACAGTCTCTCTCATTTGTTCAGAATTACTAAACACCTCAAATGATGTAGTTGAAGTTTTGGCGGTAAAGATTGAAAACGAAAACCTTGTCACTGTGGTGGCATACAAGCCTCCAGACGCAACTTCCCAGCAATTCCAGGAGCAGCTTTCGAAAACTGACCACTGTCTAGTAAATCTCCCAACTCCTGTCCCAAACATCTTACTACTAGGAGATTTCAACTTGAGACACCTAAAATGGAGGAGTACAGCAAGGAGTACAGAAGGCAGCTCAGATGAAAACTCACACACACACGAACTATTAAATTTCTGCACCAAATTCACCTTAAACCAGCAAATATTAGAGCCTACAAGACTAGAAAATATGATGGACCTCATCTTCAATAACGACAACGATCTGATACGTAATATAACCTTATCTAAGACAATACACTCAGATCACAACATAATAGAGGTACAGACATGTATGCACAGGGCTCCTGACCAGCAAAATGTGATCAGTCATAAAGGTTTCTTCACAAAATTCAATTTTAATAATAAAAACACAGATCTGAACATTTGCCTAGAAAAAATGAACTCTGTGGTTCTTGAGATCTGCTCAAGACACATTCCATTAAGAAAAAGAAAGAGAAGATGTAAACTAGAGAGAGATGCTTCCTATACAGACGAAGGCGAAGAGTCACGGAGCTGCTGAGAGGGGCCAATATATCTGAAATACGAAGGGAGGCATTGGTCAATGAAATTGCAAATATCGAACTTAAGCTGAAGGAATCTTACAGGAGACAAGAATCACAGGAAGAACTAAAAGCCATAAAGGAAATTAAAAAAAAAAAATACTTCTTCTCTTATGCCAAATCTAAGGGAAAAACAACATCCAGTACTGGGCCCCTGCTTAGGCAGGATGGGACATACACAAATGACAGCCAAGGAATGAGTGAGATATTAAGTCCCGATACGTCTCAGTGTTCAGCAAGCTGCTGCCCAGACTAAGGGTCGACAATCCAAATGAATTCTTTATGAACGAAGCCCAAAATCTGGTCATCTCAAAAATCTCAGATATTATCCTAACTCCACAAGACTTTGAAAAGGCAATAAATGACATGCCCATGCACTCAGCCCCAGGCTCAGACTCATGTTCATCAAGAATTGCAAGAAGCCCTTATTGTGTGCCTTCAGCATTCTATGGAGAGGGAGCATGGACACAGGGGTCATGCCACACACACTAAAAAACAAGAGATATAGCCCCATTCCACAAAGGTGGCAGTAAAGCAATTGCAAAGAACTACAGACTGATAGCACTAACATCCCATATCATAAAAGTCTTTGATGAGAGGGTTCTAAGAAGTAAGATCGCCAACCACCTAGATACTCATCATTTACACAACCCAGGGCAACATGGGTTTAGAGCAGGTTGCTCCTGCTTGTCACAGCTACTGGACCACTATGACAAGGTCCTGGATAAACAAAATACAGATGTAGTATACATAGACTTTGCAAAAGCTTTCGACAAGTGTGACCATGGTGCAATAGCACACAAAATGTGTGATAAAGGAATAACAAGAAAAGTTGGTAGATGGATCTATAACTTCCTGACAAATAGAACACAAAGAGTAATAGTAAACAGAGCAAAGTCCCAGACAGCCACAGTGAAAAGCTCTGTTCCACAAGGCGCAGTACTTGCTCCCATTCTATTCCTCATCCTCATTTTGGACATAGAGAAGTAAGCCATAGCTCCTTGTTTTCCTTTGCGGATGACACCCGGATTGCCATGGCAGTGACCTCCATTGAAGACACCGCAAGACTCCAAGCAGACATCGACCAAATCTTCAAATGGGCCACTCAAAACAATATGAAGTTCAACAAGGAGAAATTCCAACTACTCAGATATGGAAAACTTGAGGAAATTAAAAATGTATCAGGGCATAGGACAAATTCTAACCATACAATAGAGCAAAAAAGAAATGTGAAAGGCCTGGGAGTGATAATGTCAGAAGATCTCGCCTTCAAAGACCACAACAATGTGTCTACCTCATCTACTAGGAAAACGATAGGATGGATAATGAGAACCATCAAAACAAGGGACGCCAAGCCCATGATGATCCTCTTTAAATCGTTTGTTCTCTCTAGGCTGGAATACTGCTGTACACTAACGACCCCCTTCAAGGCTGGAGACACTGCAGATCTGGAGAGCGTACAAAGAACATTCATGGCACACATAAGTACGATAAGGCACCTAAATTACTGGGAATGGCTGAAGGTCCTTGATCTGTATTCCCTGGAAGGCAGGCGAGAGAGATACATGATAATATACACTTGGAAGGTCCTGGAGGGATTGGTACTAAACCTATACATGAAAATCACTCCTTATGAAAGCAGAAGACTTGGCAGGAGATGTAACATTCCCCCCACTGAAAAGCAGGGGTGCCACGAGTACACTGAGAGACAACACAATAAGTGTCCGGGGTGCAAGACTGTTCAACTGCCTCCCAACATAGACCCCTGGCTGTCTTCAAGAAGGCAGTGGACAGGCATCTAAAGTCAGTACCTGACCAACCTGGCTGTGGTTCGTACATCAGTTTGCGTGCAGCCAGCAGTAACAGCCTGGTTGATCAGACCCTGATCTATCATGAAGCCTGGTCTCAGACTGAGCTGGTGGGGTTGACCCCCTGAAACCCTCTCCAGGTAAACTTCAGGTAAACCTCCTTCTAATCTCCAAACCATGAATAACCTGCATAATATTCTCATCATATACTGCTCTCAGCTCCTCCATGCTGCAACATTCGGAACCCATGCTACTCATCCATATACAGTGGACCCCCGGATTACATCACTGGATTACGTAAAATTCGGATTAAGTAAAGTTTTTGCGTCAAAATATTGGCTCGGTTAACGACAAAGAACTCGGTTAAAGTCATTCATCCCAAATGTGTCCACGCGGCCTGAGTGGCCCAGCCACTCCATGTACAGCCAGTGTGCCATTGTTTACAAGCCAGTGAGGATGATTCCACGTGTACATGCGATACATTTTGTATTATTCCATTGTTTTTAGTGCTTGTAACTGCTAAATAAGCCACCATGGGCCCAAAGAAAGCTTCTAGTGCCAACCCTGTGGTAAAGAGGGTAGGAAATACATACGTGAAAAATTTGTTCATCTGTAGCCATCTTCAATAAATTTTTTTAGATCATTAGGAAATCTTGCAGCTGCCTCATTGTCTGCACTGGCACTCTGACCAGTAATTTGAACATATAGTTATTAAAGTTGTAAAACCAGCCATGACTTGCCAAAAACTTTCTCCTTCATTGCCATTTTTTTTTTTTTAACTGAATAGACTTGCTGTTTTAGCTTGAATCATCATCCGACATAATGGAATTCTTTTCTGGCTGCAGTCTTTGAGCCATAACATTATAAGATGTTCCATATCCATTTCAGAACTACAGTTTTTAAGAATCACTTTTGACATAAGATGCTGTAGCCATTCCATATCTTTTTATTTTATTTTCATTCCCTACATGTGCACGTACCGATATTTCACTCATTTTCTTGTCATGTGCTATTTTAACATACAATGCATCATCTTCAAGTTATGTAATTTTTAGTTTTTCATCTAATGTTAATCATTTATGTTTACTTGAATACTCAGCATCATTGTATTTCCTCTTATCACTAATATTTGCATGTAAAAGGGGTACCAGTACTTTATATAATGAATAAAAAAATTTCAATTATGTATGTACCGCATAACTTCACTGTTCGGAGTCTGGAGCTGGTCCGGCACATACCAGCTGTCCAGTATCAGTGTGTAATGCAATTAAATCAATTCACATTATTAAATTTTTTAAATTTATAAACTACATTATGTCAAAACCTGTATTGTTCAAAACCATACTATGGAAGGTATTACTGTACTTTCTATAACCATTGACTTTTCCATGTAAGAAATAAATAATGTAAACTAATGTTAGTGACATAAATATACGTTTTTGGATATCTATTATTAAATTATTATTATTATTATTATGATAATCTACACATTAAAAATTATAAATACTATGTCACAAACTAAAGTGTTTTAAATGTGAGTTTTACATGGATTAACCACATACTGAAAGAACTGCCAAAAAGAAATCTTTCTCCTAAATAGTTTTTACAGAATTATGAAAGCACAGAAAAGGATACTTACACCACAGTGGGTAGCAGTAGATAGATCAAAGTTGAACCGTAAAGACAGATATATACAAAGAAAGAAAGCTCCAAGGGGCAAGGAGACAGTAACTACTGCCACGCGAGCAAGAGAGAGGCGCACAACAACTGCGTCCGACTCCGACATTGTCTCTCCAGTAAAACTTCTGCAAGGAAAAAATTTTTGGTCAACTTGCGTCAAAAAGTTAAAACAACATTTATACCCGAATGTCCCGTAGCTCAATTACTAGTGCATACAGCTCACACAGTGAGGTCCATGGTTCGATCCCTGGTACAGCTGGAAAACATGAGGACATGTTTCCATAAGATACCTGCTGTCCCTGTTCACTCATCAGTAAAATAGGTACCTGGGTGTTAGTGGACTGGTGTGGGTTGCATCCTGGGACAAAACTGACCTACTTTGCCCAAAATGCTCTGCATAACAAGCAGCTTTTGATATAGTAGTATGTCATAGATGTCAGCTAGGCCTGTATACTTTGTATATGTAGAAATAAAGATACAGTGGATCCCCACTTTACGATCAGCTCCCAATGCGACCAATTATGTAAGTGTATTTATGTAAGTGCATGTGTACGTGTATGTTTGGGGGTCTGAAATGGACTAATCTAATTCACAATATTCCTTATGGGAACAAATTCGTTCAGTAATGGCACCTGAACATACTTCTGGAATGAAATAATATCGTAATGCGGGGGTCCACTATTTATTTCATTATTAAGAATGAAGTCCTTCAGCTACTTCCTTAAGTATAATTTAAGAAAGTTTTAAATGTTACAAAATACACTGTAGTGACACTAATATCACAATACTATCTGGCTTTGTTATATTAGTAGAAATTACTATTAATAAACTTTTATTTAGGTTTCATATAAAGTTTTATAAAATTATGTAAAAATTTAACCTGGGATAATTCAGTAAGTCAAACTATAAAATTTATTTCCATTGCAATCCTTATTACCTTCCCTAGAGCACTAAATCCATAGGGGTCATATATTATCCAGGGAATGAGAGACAGTGAGCTTTGATCCAAGGGAATACAGGCTCAGTTCCTTGGATCAAGAGCTCTTCAATGCCACTAAGGAATCTCCCTCGAGGATTCTCAAGATAAAAACATTTTAAGCAGTTTATTAACATAAACTGTAATGAAACTTGCATTCTGCATCTAACAATTAGTTAATAGTTAGATATTACAATGATTCCAATGGATATAAGACACTCTGACTTTTTGAGTCATTCTAAGTAATTTACACGAATATGTAATGTAATTATCCAAAATTTAGTCAACTGTAACTAAATAACCTCACTTGATGTATGTTAAATACTTAAATGTCAAAGATCACCTCATTCAATACCACTTTTTTCAAGGTTTTAGTTACCACCCGCGTATAGTGACCTCCGAGATGATTGTAAAACAACTTACACTGTATAAGTTGAGCAACATCCCTCAAACCTGACTAGTAAATAAAATCACATAGATTTAGCCCATTTTAACCACAAAACACACTGCCCTCCCAGGGCTCGAACCCCAGCAGTATTAAACCTTCACCACCAGCCCCTGACAACCATCAAAATTAACATTACAACCCCCCAAAAAAAATTCTGCCCACCTTGTTCACTCATGAGATCCCAAGGAGGAGTGAGGAGAGCACATATATTGCCATGGCACAGGGGTATAATAGACGTGCTGGGTATCATAAGTGCATCAGCTGGCACCTTTCACAACACTGACATACCCACCCAGACACCCACTACACTCAACCCTCACATTTAAAATATAATACATAGATGGCGCTGACGTGCAAGCTCATCTGTGTATCATTGAACAAGTGCCATGGTGAGGTTGGTAAGTAATGAGAGATGAGAGAGAGATGAGATTTCGTTCGGATTTTTAACCCCGGAGGGTTAGCCACCCAGGATAACCCAAGAAAGTCAGTGCGTCATCGAGGACTGTCTAACTTATTTCCATTGGGGTCCTCAATCTTGTCCCCCAGGATGCGACCCACAACAGTCGACTAACACCCAGGTACCTATTTGCTGCTAGGTGAACAGGACAACAGGTGTAAGGAAACGTGTCGAAATGTTTCCACCCGCCGGGAATCGAACCCGGGCCCTCCGTGTGTGAAGCGGGAGCTTTAGCCACCAGGCCACCGGGCCACCGTGTATAGGTACGTTTATTCAGGTATACTAGGTATACATAAATACATACATAGCAGCACATGTGTAGATTACCCAGGATAACCCAAAAAGTCAGAAAAAGTGATGTATTTTTATTGGGGTCCTTGACCTCATACTTGGAGGGTGTTTGGGGGGTCAACGCCCCGGCGGCCCAGTCCTTGATCAGACCTTGTTGTGGATCAGAGCCTGATCAACCAGGCTGTTATAATTATCATACATAGTGTAAATTACCTAGGATAACCAAGAAAGGTCAGAGAAAGTGACTTATTTCTATTGGGGTCCTTGAACCCATACCTGGGTTCAAGGACCAGGGGTTAACGCCCCCCCCCCCGAGGCCTGGTCCATGACCAGGCCTCGTGATGGATCAGAGCCTGATCAAACAAACTGTACAATTATCATATATAGTGTAAATTTCCTAGGATAACCCAAAAATAAGTCAAAGTGACTTAAATTATTTAATAAGTAAATTAATAAGTAGATAAATAAGTTTATAAGTAGATAATTAAGTTAATAAGTAGGTAAATTAAAAAGTAGTTTAGTAACTAATAAGGAAGTTTATTTAGGTACAAGTACATATATGTACAATTATCATATATAGTGTAAATTACCTAAGATAGCCCAGAAAAATCAGAGTGACTTATTTCCATTAGGATCCTTATAATATCTATATATATAAAACCTAGACGTAAGTTACAATATAAATCAATCATGATTATAACCTTAATAATTAAAACAGCTAAGTAAGTCAATTGTAGGAAAATTAGTTACAATAAAAGGATATACAACAGACAAAATAAAATGAGTTATTTAAATGAACAATAGAGAGGATCAGCTTACAATAATAAGTACACCAGTGTTAACTAATAAATAAATAACTGACCACCTACTGTAGGCACTACAAAACTGTGTTCACTTTCCCTAGTAGGTTATTAAGTGTGTAAGTTAATAAGTTGATAAGTAATAAGTAAGGGAATAAGTAGGTTAGTAAGTTAATAACTAGATATGTAAGTTAGTAATAAATAATTTAATAAGTAATAAGTAAATACGTAGATGTTTAAAAAATAGGTTAATATGTTGATAATTGACAAGTAGGTCAGTATATTAATAGATGGATAAGTAAGTTAATAAATAGGTTAATAATTTAATACATAGGTTAGTAAATTAATAAGTATAACAGCTCTTAGCCTGTAAAATTGATTTGTGTAAAAAGGTAAGTTAATGCGTATATAAGTAGGTTAACTTAGGTTTGGTTGGGTAAGGTTCGTCAGGAAACAGGACAAGTGCTTCCTGATGCGGTGGCCTGGTGGCTAAAGCTCCCGCTTCACACACGGAGGGCCCGGGTTCGATTCCCGGCGGGTGGAAACATTTCGACACGTTTCCTTACACCTGTTGTCCTGTTCACCTAGCAGCAAATAGGTACCTGGGTGTTAGTCGACTGGTGTGGGTCGCATCCTGGGGGACAAGATTAAGGACCCCAATGGAAATAAGTTAGACAGTCCTCGATGACGCACTGACTTTCTTGGGTTATCCTGGGTGGCTAACCCCCCGGGTTAAAAATCCGAACGAAATATTATCTTATCTTATGATGACCCACAGCTGGAGTTTTTGGTCATCTGACTGAGGCCTTCCACTGGCTTACCAGTCCACGGCGTATGTTGTGTGAACCTTGCTCTCAAAAGTCTAATAAGCTCAAAACTGGGTGGATAAAGGAGAGGAAACATGTATTCTCCAACATTAACAAAAAACGTGAACAAATTGTTGCCAGTTATGTCAGGCGAAGAAATTGGGAAACTGAGAAGTTTGAAATACTGACTTTGATAAGATAATCTGAGTTCATCTGATTGTTTTCTAACTTTTAAGCTGATAAAATGATAATGCAACTTCTGAGCTAATTCTTAGTTTTTATGTTATGGGATATTGATATCTGAGATAACTACAGAATGCCTCTTCAGCTTGCCTTGAAACTTGTTAAGCTGCCCTCTCCAAGAGGCAAATTCAAATTTGTGTTAGACTTTTCATGTCCCAAGTTGTCAATATTTATTAAAATGGGATACCTGGAGTATACCTGGAGAGGGTTTCTGGGGGTCAACGCCCCCACGGCCCGGTCTGAGACCAGGCCTCGTGGTGGATCAGGGTCTGATCAACCAGGCTGTTACTGCTGGCAGCACGCAAGCTGACGTACGAACCACAGCCCGGTTGGTCAAGTGGAATCAAAGTCTGATCAACCAGGCTGTTACTGATGGCCGCACGTAAGCTGACGTATGAATCACAGCCTGGCTGGTCAGGCATTGACCTAGGTGCCTGTCCAGTGCATATTGATTCCCATGTGATAACTAGTGAATGTCTCTTCTTTTTCACTTAAGGTCTTCAGTGCTAATATTTAACTGCATTTCAAACTTATGCCACAGTCTGCACTATGCTTTTCACGTGCATTGAGGTAGAGGGGGCTGAGGTTATACAATATAGGGGACACCTTTCTCGGTGTCGACCACAATACATCTAGTTTTGAGTTGGTTTATGATGGGTTTTCTTAGCAGTGGCAAAGAACGTAACCTTGCCACTGCTATAGAATAAACCCACATAACCCCCTAATATTCGACATTTTAAAGAATAAATTATTGATTTAAATGTCCAGTATTAAGGGGTTATGTGGGTTTTGTGGAATAAATTATTCATCAATTCAGACTATGACCTGAATTCAAAGTTTATTAAAGATATATGTAGCTCTGAGTGCATAAACACTGTTGGTAGGTCAAGTCACAGTTCCTGGCCCCGGTGTGTGTGTGTGTGTACTCACCTAGTTGAGGTTGCGGGGGTCGAGTCCAAGCTCCTGGCCCCGCCTCTTCACTCTTCACACTGTGTGTGTGTGTGTGTGTGTGTGTGTTTGTGTGTGTGTGTGTGTGTGTGTGTGTGTGTGTGTGTGTGTGTGTGTGTGTGTGTGTGTGTGTGTGTGTGTGTGTGTGTGTGTGTGTGTGTGTGTGTGTGTGTGTGTGTGTGTGTGTGTGTGTGTGTGTGTGTCCTACAGGCATTTTATGATACGAATTGAAAGTTTCTCTTATTGGTATACTTTGCATAGAGGAAAAAATCCTGGAGTTTTGTATACATAACCTAAATTCACGTTTTAATTAATTAAAACACATGCTTTTGATTAATAAAATCAATTCATTCTTAAAAAATATGTAAAAGCTTGTTAATCAATAAATAATTTAATAAATGTTGCATTTCGTTCCACTTGCAATACTGACTGCTGATGTTTACGAAATTTCTTATAGTGATCTGTTAAGAATTTTTATAGAAATAGAAGGGGATTTCTCCACTGGCGTTGGTAGAATGCAAATGTCTCGCTCTACCAAATGCTTTGAGTATCAATGTTGAATTTTCTCTATTTCCTGCTCCTGGGATGTTTGTCCTTTATACATTGCTCGCGCCTGGACAATGGCTCAGCTTCTTCTAGGTCCGGGGAAAGCCTGTTGCTGTTGACTCAGATGTTAATTTATTCATTTCTTTGCAAGTAATACATTGAGATTATGTATTTACAATAATGGGTTGCAGTGCAAGGAGAGCCTATATTATGCCTAGGCATTATGGGCCGACTTAGTTTAATGGCTTACTGACTACTTAACACTAAAGAAATTTATCATAGTTGTACAGTAGGCCTATTAATTATAGGTGAATCTAATTTATATAAACAAGGATATATTCATATATTCAAAAATGCTTTTTATGAAACATGATTCAAGAGTAGTTTCCAGTAGTTTCCAGTAGTTTCCAGTAGTTTCCAGTAATTTCCAGTAGTTTCCAGTAGTTTACAGTAGTTTCCAGTAGTTTCCAGTAGTTTCCAGTAGTTTCCAGTAGTTTACAGTAGTTTCCAGTAGTTTCCAGTAGTTTACAGTAGTTTACAGTAGTTTCCAGTAGTTTACAGTAGTTTACAGTAGTTTCCAGTAGTTTCCAGTAGTTTACAGTAGTTTACAGTAGTTTCCAGTAGTTTCCAGTAGTTTACAGTAGTTTCCAGTAGTTTCCAGTAGTTTACAGTAGTTTCCAGTAGTTTCCAGTAGTTTACAGTAGTTTCCAGTAGTTTCCAGTAGTTTCCAGTAGTTTACAGTAGTTTACAGTAGTTTACAGTAGTTTCCAGTAGTTTCCAGTAGTTTCCAGTAGTTTACAGTAGTTTACAGTAGTTTACAGTAGTTTACAGTAGTTTCCAGTAGTTTCCAGTAGTTTCCAGTAGTTTACAGTAGTTTCCAGTAGTTTACAGTAGTTTCCAGTAGTTTCCAGTAGTTTACAGTAGTTTACAGCATGAGACTGCTACAATTTGGTGAAGGGCAATACTGCTTTTGGTAGGTATGTATACTTTTATGTGGTAATTTGTCAATATATGAACTTGGTCATCTAGTCTAGAAGTTTTAAGATTTAGGTAATTGGTGGATTTATTGATAGTGTTAAATATTGAGTAATTACTATTTAATCTAGGGTGATTAAGTGGCTTTTGAGAAGAGTCTTAAATTGATTTTCAGACCGGGTTAAGAACATAAGAAAGAAGGAACACTGCAATAGGCCT